TTGATTATTGTGTGATATACTTTTTAAAACAATGACATTTTATTTTTTTGGTCTAGTTAAGGAAAATATAGGTGTTATTTTTTTTTCAAAGTTTCATATTTTACTGTTTCAATTTATCCATTCATCATTAAACTATAATATATATTTTGTGAAATTTTATATCATTATTTTTAGTGTGATGCCAAATATATTACAAAAGCTGAATTGAGAAGATTTGAATTTCCACTATATGAATGTGAGCAAAAAGTACAGAGGATTGAGCATATTACAATGATATTAGAGCCTAACCAAATTGTTGCCATCTATGTCACCACATCTGGTCATCCTCTATCTGATGAATGTATTTATTGATAATAGACCTGTGTTTTAGTTTCTATTGCAAAAAACTCCATTGTAATCAGGTCATGTCTCTGCTATTTTCCATAATTCACCTAGTGTATGAGGATAATATTTCCGGGTGCCTGTTTCAACAGTCCACAGTGTTTGTACACAAACCTGGAAGTCTTAGAAAGTTTGAAAAAAGGCCAAATTCATTTCTTGGGCTTGAAAATGCATGAAAAATCACATTTTTGGTTGAAAAGTCTTGAAAAAGTCTGGAATTTTACTAGTATGATGAGAGAATGAAATAATTCCAGCAGGAAGTTTTTATTATAGAAATAGATCTTAAAAGTGGGTGAGCACAAGTGGCAACAGGAAACATTGTCTATATAATCAGTCAGGAGAGTCCATGCTGCCCAGAAATTTCCAAAGTAGCAAGTCTCGCTAACTCTTGGAATAGCATGCAAGAACATTCATGACCCAATGTTCCTCATTACGCATATCTATACATGAATCACGTGTAAAAATAATAATTCAAGTGAAAAAAATCATTACTTGTACATTGTATGTACAAAAACTAGATAGCCATTATTTAATTCAAACATTGATAAATATTGATAGTCAAAGATGTTAGTAAATTTTCATTTGTATAGTATTTTTAGATAATTTATTATATTTATAATTGACAGACAAGTGTTGCATAATTACCTAGGTTAATTATATTATATTAACCTAGGTAATTATGCAACACTTGTCTGTCAATATGAAGCCATTTCATAAGGCGTCATTCTGATAAGCTGGTACATTGGATGATTGATTAAAAGAGCTAGGTGAATCAGTCAACCTGGATTCCAGTTTAGTGATGTCAATAGCTTCTAAATTTGCTTTTGCTACTCATAATGATAAAATTGACAAGCAGTCATGGATAACATGATTACCTTTTTAGTGATGAGCTTCTGATAAAAAAGAATGTGATTTAAGGGTGTTAAAATTGTTGACAGTTTTGTAGAGAGACTAATGATAATTCACAGCCTATTTCTAAGCCCATGAAACATTTGAAAAATGTGACAGCTGCAGAGTCTAGGTCAGTTTCTAACTGTGGTAACAATGTCCTTTCGTCAAGTTCATTCAGTAAATGTAGTAAGCCCATAGAGTTCATGTCTAAATGGCCCAGTGAATTCAAATGGCTTATTCTTGATAATGCTGCCAGTCATGGGAAAACTAAATGAAATATTTGTCATAGGTTGTTTCACCTATCAGAGAAGTGCACTTATATGTAAAGACCATAAAATTGCTTAGTAGTATGAAAGTCTTCCCCCTCACATGTACATATTCCAATAGCTACTGTAGATAAAAATGTACCATGAAGCTAGGAAACAAAACACCAGATGCAATTCATATTTAACACAACAGTCTTGATTATATCATACTACACAAAGCTGTACATATATATATTGTTATGCCATGCATTTTGCAATATATGAGAAATACATGTAAAAGTGAGATAGACTAAGAACTACAGCTCCTGATAACTATTACTTATAATTAATACTTACTCCCAAATTTTCACATGAAAGTAACTATATGTCTAAAACAATTTGGTTGTTTTATTAATGTAACATCCATGATTTTCATACATAACTATGTTAGTGGCAGATTTTAGATTTGATCTTCGTTTAGATTCTTGCTGTTTACTGTACTGTACTTGGACCATTATTGCTGCTGCTGCTATTTTGTTTAAACAAATGCTTCATGGTCAAACCATGGAGGAATGGCAGAACATCATGACAGTTCAGTTACCAGTAATTTATTATTTTCTTCTAAAGCATATAGACTGAACTGGGAATGTAACTGTATGGTGCTGCTCTTTAGATTCAGAATAATCGCAAACAGGTGAGGCACACGTGTTGTTTCTTTTAAGTGAATGTTTATTTGAGAAACTGTTGGTTTTCACATGACACATAATTTCTGTTAGTACAGCAATGTTTCTTTCATGGTAATTAGAGGGTACAGTGTACTCTAATATGCAAAATGTAAAGGGGAACACTGTAATATGCATTACAAAATGTGTACATTTTATCTATAATGCACTGCATTTTTGGATATAAGTGTCTAAAATTAGTAAAATTCACTAAAAAGTAAGTCTGGGAAAAAATAAGTTTTGAGTTTGAAAAAGTATATGAACCCCGAGCCAATCACACACGCCCATAGATGCTGTTTCTGGTGGCTTGAACAGTATATTTTTGCATGGAATAGCATGAATACACATTTCCTTTTCCAGTTCAATAGAAGGTATGACTGGGAAGCTTATATTGATGAATTCATACCCTTGTTGGCCTCATTTGTAGGAAGAGAATCTTTCTTGATTATGTAGTGTACTGTTGCCTTGGTCACAAGGATGGTTATTACCACTGACCTTTATGTTTGTGAATTTTTACCTGTTACAAGATGCCAGACTTTGCTTACTGTGTCTGGTGTATGACTTGTTGCTAGTCTGTTTCTGAATGGTCCTGGTACACCAAGTTGATTCATCTTCCTTTGTTTCCCAATGTCATAAATTACAAGGGACATAACTTTCTTGGAAATTCTAAATTGCTGATATGAACACATCTTTATGGTCAAAATGTATAAATATCTTGTGTTGGAAAGGGTTGTTACCATTTCTAAAAGCATTCAGTTTTTTGTGGCATCACACTATATGCAAAATACCAGGCAATGTCAAAACATAGCTCTGATAAGTGCTGTTGCACCACGACTTTACATCAGCTATGGTTTGTCATGTGACTTGTTAACTTGCATGTTCAGTCTTTTAATATAATGTACTGAACTCTGTACACCCATTCATACTTAATAATTTTTAGTAGGAAAATTCGGAAAACTTTGTTTCAAGACTTTTTCTGCTACTAGTGCAATTTCTATTTTCATTTGATAAGATCACATTTGTATGCAGTTTGATACTGATGTTAAAGATATGCTCAGTTCTGAAAAGAAAATTTCTGTCAGAAGTTAAATTTTTGTCCTTGATATTTTCTAAAGCTTTTTAGTATTATTCTAGAATAAATTATTGTTGACGTTGATTTAGCTATAAAGATTCCAAACTGAAAATGACTGTTGTAGTAATTTACTTTTATGTTCTTTTCTACTTCCTTATTGTCAGTTAGTTTTGAACAGTGTTTATATGGACAAAAATTATTTTGTAGATATTCAATGATAACAGGGAAGAAAAAATATGGGTATTTAAAATATTTATTCATTTAAGTGTTTAGAGACAATCAGCTTATCTTAACATTACTGGAAAATAATTTTTCCAAACCATTTCTCTAACCTATTTCATAATTCAACTCATCTTTTGTAAAAACAGGGTGAAACTTTGTATTGCTGAATCTGACTACTTGATGTGTATTTATACATAGTTTTAATATAATTGATTTATTCAACATAAATAATTTAACTTTAGGAAAAGGAAGATATGGAGAGGTGTGGCGGGGTATTTGGCATGGAGAAAGTGTAGCTGTGAAGATTTTTTTCTCAAAGGATGAAGCATCATGGACCAGAGAAACAGAAATTTACAGTACAGTACTGCTTCGTCATGAAAACATATTAGGTTTCATTGGATCAGACGTCACCTCTCATAACTCGTGCACACAGCTGTGGTTGGTTACTCACTATCATGAACGTGGCTCTCTCTATGACTATCTGAACCTAACTGATCTGACTACGTACCAAATGCTGATCATTCTCTTGTCTGCCATCTCGGGAATCGTCCATCTGCACACAGAGATTTTTGGTACACAAGGAAAACCGGCCATTGCTCATAGGGACATTAAGGTAAAGTGTTTTAACATTAAACTTCAAAAAGGTTAAATTGTGTATTATTGGGTTTTACCACTGTCACTTTGAATGTTATAATACATAGTGTTGTTAGTATTATATAGAATAAGTAGCCTTTTCAGTAATTTAAGCTTAGTATTTCTGGTATAATAAACAAATGCAGTGGCACATTTTAGTCATCTTTGTCCTAATTGCAGATTGATTTTTGATTGACCCATTTAAACTCTGTATATTTTAAATGTTTTAAGTTGTCAGTTATGTACATGTTTTTTCTAAAGTAGTTTTCTTACCATCACCTTATTACATTTGAACTGTATAATTGTCATTTCTCCATGAATGATTGGGTTTATTTGGTGAAATCTTTCTTAAGTCACTTGCCACGAAGTTTAATTACCAGTCTTGGTGTCATGAAAATCTTGTATATTGAGTCATTGATCTTGAGTAACTGATCCTGAAAGCAAGATGTATTATTGCTGGAATAAAATACAACTTAAATGTAATCACCATAAATATTTTAACATCTGTTTCTTGATTTAGTAAATTTTCTTTTTTAAAAAGAGAAATGGAAAAGCTTAGATAGTTCAAATTACTTGTTTTAAAAAAGAAGTAATATATTTTATGTACAAATGTAAACAACACAGGAACATGTTGATGTTTCAATGATTTTTTAGAAATAGGTTGAAATCTTTAATATTTTGGTACAATAAAGGATGAGCACCTGTTGTTTCATATGACATTACTAATTATCTTAAAACAGCATTAAAAAATTTGCATTTTTTGCTATTTACTTAATTAGAAGATTTTAATGTGATGTAATGAAATTGTATTAGAAATCAAAAAACAATACCACAACATTTAGAAATAATAGAATGCATTAGGTAGTATTGGACGTAAAAGTTCAACAGTTTTTATATGAATAACTATTTAAACTCTGTAGGAGGGAAAGGGAAAGTTACTGTTTTAGAAATACTGTTACTCTTCCTCTCATAGACCAAAAACATTCTTGTGAAAAACAATGGAACATGTGTTATTGCTGACTTTTGGACTGGCTGTCACTCACACCCAGGCAACTGGAGTAATGGACATTGCTCATAACTACCGTGTTGGAACAAAACGCTACATGGCTCCAGAAGTTTTGGATGAAACACTAAACACTTCAGTTTTTGAGTCTTACAGAAGAGTGGATATTTATACCTTTGGCTTGGTTATATGGGAAGTGTGTCGTAAATGCTTGAGTGAAGGTAAGATTTTAATTTAAGTGGTGACTTTTTGTTTTGATTATAAAGTAAGTTTATCTTTCTGTTTAGTGAGGATAATAGTGAAAATTGTGGAAATTTGTAAAGATGTATTTGTATATACCAACTGAACTTATTCTGACTCAAAACCTTGTGAAACTTTCTTTAGGCTTTTCTACTGCTGATGTTTCATCAGCCTTTCATTTCTGGCCAAAACTTGATTCAGATTTTTCTGAAGGTTTTACATTTAACCAATTTGCTAGTCATTCTAAGCAAGTTTTGATTTGATTGTATGCTTAAAATCCATTATATCTGTTGATTAATGAGTAAAAGCAATTTAACCCTCTTGATTATGGTTAAGTCAAAGTGTGCATGTCATGACTTTTTAAAAGACTTTCAAAAAACTACATTATTATAATGGTATATGAATTAACTTGGCATCAAAATGTAGATAATAAGTCAAATTTTAATATTATACGTGTTTTAAGTTCTTAATTTTATAAAGAAATATTTTAAAAAAATCCTCTATCTCCTCTAGTATGAGAATTGTGACATTTGCTCTGTAGATTTTACCTCTTCTCTAATTATATACCACCCCTCTGAGATATGGAATTTAATGTAAATTACTCATTGTAATATAGAAATGACTCAGGCAGAGCATAATTTTTATAGCCTTTAACCTTGTGGAGCCATAAACTAGAAAATCAGACCCACTTGCTAAGCCTGCATGTTACATCCTCTCTTTCAATAGTTCTCTCTTATGTTTTATAATATATTATTTATACCAACAGAAAGCCAAAGTTTTAATCTATCAAATAAAGTATTATATAACATGTTTTTTTGTAGAAGGAATTGTCTATTTCCCATTTCAGTTTCTAATTTGTTCTCATGAGAATCACATCAACTAGGTTAGCTGAATTTAAAGGCTCTTATCACATAGTTAGAAAGCCAGAAAAATTATGATAGTTATAGGACATTGTTTATTTTTGTGTATTATTATTATTATTCTGTGTTCTTAAGTGGATCATCTAATTAAATAACTAATTATCTATTGTAGTAGTACCATTAGTGTATAAAAAAAAAGGTTTGAGTTTCATTGACAGTCGATAGCTAAAAAAACAAAAAACAGACCCACATAAGTACTATATTTCTTGTTTTTCATGTGTATTCTTTAATTATTATTATTATTATAAAAGCAACTAAAATGTAAAAATTAGAAACTTGTTAGGTTAGATAAGGTAAGATAAAGAAAAATAATAATAACAAAAATTCTTTACGAGGTATGTTTATGAGTAGCTTGTGCATTATGTAATTTGATATAGTAATCAGAGCTACACATTTGCCAAGTGATTTACAGCATGTGTGTCAGGATTATTAGTTAGACATGGTTTAAAGGCAATAAATCAATAAAATATAAGTATAAACAAATGTATACCATTACAAACTTTAAGCTGTTTAGGATAAACAACTGTAGTTTCCTGTTACAATTTAAAGTCATTCTAGAAAGAAAAAAAGGATAATTTAAAATTACTTTGTATTTGTTTATGGTGGGTACAAGGTCGGTCAAATTGACCAACCCTGTATACAGTTATGGTAGAGAAAATAACAGATAAAATATAAAGTTTTATTGGAAAAAAGTGGTTGAAATTTCTTTGGCAGGTTTTAGAGATTACACAAATGAAATTTTACAATTTTAGATGAACAAAGGTATTTTTAATCTCAACATGAAAATCACTGCACTCATTGTAGTCATTTAAGAACGAAATATATATAATTTATATTTAGTTCCTAATTTTTTATGATGGTTACGAGATCTGTCAAAGCTACTGAATCCGTACAGACATTCGATAGTAAAAGTAATCTAAAATATAGTTTTTTCTTAAAAAATGTTTGATAACTATCCAGACATGATAAAGATTTTGCATGTGTAAGTAGAAAATTTTCTGTTGCATAAAAGTATTTTTAATCTTAAAATGAAAATTACTTTGCATGTTGCCTATCCAACATGCAAAAAGGAAAAAAGGCATGAGAAAAACATTACTTCAAAAACCTTAAGACTTAATAAAAATATCTGATATTTTGCATATGAAAGCATTGTAATGTTTACTGATGATCTGCCAGATTTTGTGAACATATGATTACTAATTTAAAAGTTATAGCATGAAAACTATAACAAGCACAAAATGGTTACGAAGTCAGTCCCAGAGACCGAGCCCGTGCTGAAAGAGTTAATTCTTTGCACAGCAAGGACAATTAAACTTATAAATAACAAATTAAAACTTTTCTTTGGGAACTACCTCTTTGAAGCCAAAGAAATATTGTAAAAAAAAAATTTAATAGCTAAAGATTTGTATCTGTGAACACTGTCTCCTTATGATACTTGTTAACTTTTGTCTAACATAGAAAAATGTGATTAAGATTACTATGCAATTTCACAAGATCTCCTCCCCAGCTTGAAGAAAGAGTCACCTACTACAAAGTCTTGCAGTTATTTCAAGCAAAAAATATTTATTTGATGTTTTTTGTTCTTTTTACTTAAGCAGAAAGATGAAAACTAATTAGCAAGTTTGCACAAATACTGTACAATAAGTACATTTGTGAATAATCCACTGTTCATCTGTGAACCTGTAAGTACAGTATTATGTCTTAGTTACTAAACTATGGCTACAAACACTGTCTGTTGTTTGCATGTGGTATATAATACGCTCTTGTTATCCTGTGTTACAGTGGGTCTCTTTGTACAAGTTAAATCTTTGTGGAGCAGAAGATCTTAAATCACAGTGGCCATAAGCTTGTAAAAAAGTAGTAAAATTGGATTTAATGAAAGAGTCATGTTTTCATTCTAATATTTGGTGTATTTAATGTTTTAAAGTTGTTTTAAGCTGAATTGTACTGAACATTTAAAACATTGTTGAAACCACAGAACCCTTCCACAGAATTCTCTAAAATTTTCCATACTTTTCATAAGAGATTAATCATTCAAATATATATATGTGGAATATATTGATAGTGATAAGACTAAAATTACAGTAAATCCTTCGTAATCATATACATTCAGTTAAATAAGTAATTGATGTTAGTCCTTTACATACTATGTATATGCTGTAGTTTTCAAGCTTGTTTTATTCCTGTAACTTGGTTAACTATAACTTTTAGTTGTGGTTATCATTAAAAATCAGTGCTGTATGTGAGGACCTTGGTTGTCCTAAACACCCAAACTGTAGTATCATACTTGTTATAAAACATGAATATGATTCCCCATCATTTGTCTATGACTTATAAAATGTTCACTGTATAAAATAAAGGATTTTTCACATTTATTTCATATCAACTTACTGATAATCTTGTTAATAAGCAACAATTACATCAATATTTGTTACTTTTTGTTTTAAACAACAATTTAAAACACTGAAATTAATAGTTCTTTGAACTACAAATTAGATTTATCTTTGCTTTTTTTTTAACTGGAAAATGAAAAATCTGAGGTAGGTCAGTATTGCTCAGTTATCAAGACTGTATTATAAAAGAAATATCTCCAAAATCATTTAATAGGAGGTGTGTTCAATGAAAGTTATTAGATCATACCAAAATGTGTTTCAATTCGTGCTCACGATTTCTACTTTGAACACAATATTTGGATATTTCAAATTGTAAGAATTTGAGTTGTTCTATGGATTGTAACTGGAAAATTAAAATGCTTCATGATCTTATATCTTCTTTATTTCCTGTATTGAAGTTGTTTAAAAGCAACCAAAGCTATTCAAAACCAGTTACTCATATTTACTTGTGTTGTTTATTTTTTTATCTTTTAACACTGTTGGTAGAAACGAAAACTGCAGAAAACAAAATTAACAAAAAACAAATTGTCCTTTATTAAATTAATGGGTTTCATTAAAAATGTGAAATAAAGTACCAATAACTGGAATGATAATATTTATCATTCATTATTTATAATGCTATGGTGCAAGAGTAACTGTTAATATTTCATCAAGATAAGGCTAAACATTAAGTGTGTGTGTGTGTGTACATATAAATACATTTTTCCAATTCCATCAAACTGCATCTGGTGGTCTTAACACACAAGCAAAGTAAATGATTTCTGTGTGTTCTGAAGACCAAACTAGAAAGTTTGAAAGTAATCAAGTTAATGATCATGGAAATTTTACAGAGGATAACTTGTAACATGGCATTAAGTTATCTATTGTTTGACATCAAAATAAACTGTTTCCTTAACTCACTACTTTGTACTGTGCGATGTCATATAAGTTCCTGTAACCATATGTGTTTTATCTTCTAGTCTTTGTACCATAGGTGTATGAATCTAGTATATAAAAAGTTGATGAAAAAACTACAATCGTTAATATTTATTTTTATTTTTCATTACATGATAAAAATATTTGTTAATTTACCAACATTACACTTGTAAAAGTAGTCACTTTTAAGGGACCTTGTAAATGATATTATCTTTTGGATAAATTTTGTAATGGTATAGAAAACTGTGAAACTTGTTCTGATAATCCTTAACTGTTTCACTGAGTAAGTTCATTTTTATTGCAATAATAATGATGTTTTTCAACAGAATTGATATGATTTTATTTTTAAGAAGAACTTTTAAGATTTTTAATTTATGAATGAATCTTTGATTTCTCTCTGAATGTAAAAACAGCTTTATAAATTTTAGCTGTTGATGCTTGATTTTGTTAAAGCAAATATATAAAATAACATTGATCAAAATATATTGGGTGATTTGAAAAATTCTCATTAAGAACATTCACAACTTTTTGTTTGAACTTAATATTTTTCCTTTGTCTGAAATGTTGTTCCAAACTTTTATAGACTTCAAATATTTTAAGGAATTTTAATTGCGAGAAAAGGCTACTATGAAGTTATAACCAACAGCACTAATATATTATATATCTATAGGTATTGCTGAAGAATATCGACCTCCTTTCTTTGACATGGTGCCATCTGACCCCAGCTTTGAGGACATGAAGAAAGTTGTTTGCATTGACCAACAAAGACCAGTTATCCCAAATCGCTGGAGCTCAGACCCAGTAATAAATTTGTGTTTTATTAAGTCTAGTTTCAAAATATATATATATTATTTTTAGCTTTGGTAAATGATGACATCTATATATTTTTTGTTATTAAAAAGAAAACTTAAAATAATACAGACTAAATTGTTTCTCTGAAACGCTAACATAAGTTATACAGAGGATTGTCCACAATAGATGGTAAGAATTTCCATATCCAATCATTTTCCCTTAGCTATCCCTTTTGCCTATGGTTAAAAACCCTGACCCCCTTGTTACAATTCAGTTGAAGTACTGTAAGTATGGGAGTGCTTAAAATTGATCCCATTATGGGAGGGTTACATGGTAGGGCTTTCTGATGCAAAACTCTCTTATTCCATGATTGTTAAAGCATACAAGGCTAAAATTTCAAATGTTTCAAAGAAAAGGAATATCAGTAAAGTAAGGGAAGTTATCATCACTACAGGGAAGAGAAAATGGTTGCTTCACAGCTGGCTACCATTGAACCCCAGAGATTGTAGAGAAGGTTGAACAGCTCGTTTCTGAAAGTAACACAAGAATATAGCAGTTTATTATGGATAAAGTAGGAAGTTACCTTTGAACTACAACATAACTTACATAAATTAAGGTTTAACAAAGTGCCATCATAACAAACTTCTCCCAAGATACGTAGCTGAAAAAAGACCACAGTCAAAAGCTGTAAAAATGATAATTAATGTATGTCATTACTTTGGATTAAATTTAAGTCTACCCTCAAGTGTCTATAACAAAGTCTGGGCAATTTATTATCATAATCTTACCAGTGATACAAGATTGTAAAAAATGGTACAGAGCATATTTTTGAAGGTTTTGTAAGGGATTTACAGTGTTTGCAGGGTACAACTGTAATTGTAAGTTAAACATCTGTAAAGTTGAAAAAATATTCCAAGGTGAACTCTGCATGCTTTCCAGCTAATGTGCTATCTCCAGTACACTGAATATTATCCCTGTACATAGTGAATTCCATTAAGGAATGACTATCAAGACAACGTATCTAGCGACACATCTGAGTGAAAATGCCAGTCTTCTGCAAGATGCAAGAACTAATGGGAATTCATGCTACACCATTTGTGAAAATCTATCGTGACTTATGTGTCTTTGAGTTGTTTAAATAATCGTATGGAAAGTATCATCTGTATATAAGGTTAATGGACTTGGGAAGTATGAAAGAGGAGGGGATAAATGTTGACTTCAATGTTACACAAAAGCTTCCTACAGTAGAAATTGTGTTGCTACTTACAACTAATGACATCTTCAGTTCTGATATTGAATAGATTTTCAACACTGACAAGAAAGATTTACATTTTGGCTTAGGTCTTATCAGTACACTTTTGTTCAAAAAAAACCTAGAATATGTAAACAGTTTCAATGATATGAAAGAAAACAAAAATAAATAACTAACATATTATGAAAGCTATCAAACATGGACAGAAGAATGGACTGAATTAATTGATAAACAACTTTTCATAACAGCAAAAATTTAGTCAATATATTCAATCATTTGAAACAACATATATAATTATAATTGAAGAAAATAATGCTATTTTGCATTATCCATGATTATACTTCAAATTTAAAGCATATTCAGTTTTCAATTCAAGAACATTTTAAAGAAAAACCTTCCATAAGTTAAAAATTCAGAAATACTAATAAGTACATTTTAAAACAATTCACTAACTGAGTGGAAATGATAAGAACAATAATGCAAGTCATGGTGCAGCATAAAACAGATCAGTATGACTTTGCAAAATCACCAAGGTATTAACTGAATATTTACTGAACCAGATTAGACAAGAAGGGTAATCTGTAGACACAATACACAGATGAGGCTTAGGCTTCACAGCTGAGCCCCTTCTTTGTGAACACAACATAAGGATGAGTGCCTAGGTCATATAGCCAAGCTCCTTGTTAGTAGACATGATACATAGATGATTGCCTTATGCTGAGCTCCTAGGAAGACATGATGCAATGATAAAGCTAGGCTTTACAGCTGAACCCTTCTTTTTGAACAAGATAAAAGAATGAGGCCTAAACCTTATAGCCAAGCCCCTTCTTTGTGAACACGATATAAGGATGAGTGCCTAGGTCTTACAAGGACACCCTACTTTCAGTACTGATGTGATCTACACTATGGCTCTGCTTATGAACTATTGCTGTTTAAAACTTCTGTGAGTTTTCAGGATGTGTGGGACTGGAGTTGCAGAGAGAGTGTCTTCTGGTGTATTGTGGCTTACATGGAATCCATACAATGAAAGAATTTAAAATTGATTCAAGTAGGCTGTGAGCATAAAACTGGCATAGAAAAAGGTTTTAGTATTCTACAAATTAAGTTGGGCCAATACACATTCAGAATACTTAGTAGAGGAAATATTAAATTTTGACATAAAATTACTTTTGTAAATGGAGGACTTTATTATTTTTTTGTTATGGTTAAATCAAAAATTTATTTCCTAAGATACTTCTAATATATCTTCAAAAGTATTCTTTTAAATATTAATTCTAATCCACCCAAAAACATTTAACATGCTGTATGGAGCTATGGAAAAAAAAAGCATTTTTGGCCAAAAGAATAAACTAAAGGCATTAGTCAACTGTGAGTACAGAAAAAAACAAAATGGTGTATGTATTCTCAGCAGTATTGTATATCTATGTAGGACCATGATATGAATTAAGGATAAAAATTAAAACCTTTTGAATTTCTATTAATTTCTTGTTTAGAATAAAGTATGGAAATCAAAGTTTGCAAGCTAGAACTTTGTTTTTTCAATAAGAACATATTTTTATGGTTAAATGTATTAAAATAATGTCTTCCATGTGCAAAAATTAATATTAATTTAGAAAAAATATATATATATATATTTTGCAAGAATTCAAACTATATTTAATTTGGCTTAGCATTGATGTTTTATCAGTTATCTCTCAGCCCGATTAATAATTAGTATTTTTCAAAAGATTAT